TAATGTAATGACAGTAAATATTCTTATTTAAATAAAGTCTCGCATTTAATGCTCGTTCGCGATAAAAAAAAAAAAAATAAATAAATATTTTAATAACAATAATATAAAAATCTATAAATAAACTATTTAAAAAGATATTGAATCTAAATTTAATTTTATATTATTATTAAATTGAATTTTTTTCAATTGATATAATATTTAATATTATTACATATAACATTTTATATTAAAAAAGTTATAAACAAGATATTGTTTATGATTAATAAAAAAAACTTTATTGAATATAAGAGAAACCAGACAACTGTTATTTTTCAAAGAAAAAAAACTTTTATTATATATATGTTTTTTTAATATAATTAAATAAAGTAAAAATACAAGTTTTAAATAGTACATATAATTTTATTGATTCTCCAAAGATCATATATATATAATATGAAATTAAATAATAAAATAATAAAATAGTATTGGACCTATGGATCTATAGCTCAGTGGTAAAGCTCCATGGATCACCAGGTGAAGGTCCAGGGTTTAACCCCACCTGGTTACAAAAATTTATCACCTTCATGATTGGTTAACTGGCTTCCAATTCATGTCGTACCCAATTAGCTGCAAATCATCTTCCAAAATTAGTTAGGTTGCATAAAGATGGGACCTCTGGTCTTCCCAACGATCGTGGGCTGAAAACAGGTTGAAGTAAAAAAGGTTGCATGAGGAAAGGCTTCTGGTCTAACTCCGGTAAAAAGTCCACTCTAACCCAAACTGGTGATGACAGACTCCATCACACAATTCCAAAAAAGAGGTTAATTCTAAGCCATTCTATCCCAATCTGGAGCTTGTAGATCTATCCCAATGGTGGCGTTCTATGGAACTTAATCATATGACCGAAGGGCAAGGTATCAGTTACAGGTGGTGAAAATGGTAGTACTACGTTACACTAGTGGTACATCCTGAGGATCGATGATAACAGTGACTGAAATACTGAGGTTAATTTCTATAATAATATTCTATAATATGCCTTATCCATGACAGATGCAGTCGCGACAGGATCTAGTAGGAAGGTGGTTTAAAACTAGTGATAGGATTTCCACCCCCTATGTAAGTTCCACCTGACATGTGGATTATCTACTTGATATTTAAAATTCCGTATAACTGGATATGTTATAATTGGTTTAGGGGAAAACTGGGAGCACTGGAAACAGTGATCATCAGGTAGTATTAATTTGCATTTAGGATAGCAATAGCCTACTTTGTAAAGATGTTTGATGTACTGACTACAAAACGAATGTTTAATAAATGTCATGTATCTAATGCCCTTAGCTAATTAAAAAAAAAATAATAATAATAATAAAATAGTATTTTATTCTAATTATTTTAATACCTTTATTATTCCTTATTATTAATTAAAGAAACTAAAAGTAAAAAAGAATAAAACTATTGATATTTGTAAACTTATACTAATATAATATCAAATATTTTTTGGAATTGGGTGTCACATGTTATATTTTATATATTAAATATCACCTGTATATGTTATATGTCCTAAAACTCATCCTGTGGATTCTCTTGTCAACCCCAAAAAACAACTGTTTCAGAGAAATTTTTTATTTCTTTATAACAAAGTCTATATACTTCTTTAACAACATTATTATCTAAAGACTTTAGTCTTTCTCTCTTTAAAATAAACTTTTATATTTTTCCAAGTAAATACAAAAAAAACCTATTTACAAAGTCAAAGGCAAATACAATTTGATAGAAAAAAGAACTTGTAAAAACAATATCATTTTTTTTCTTCTGGAGATTAAAACTATAGAGAAGATTACTATAGACTTTTGGGACTCTTTTTTTATCTTCTTCATGTTTCTCTTATATTTTCATAAGTGTATAAAAATTTTTCTTATTTTTCTAGGAAATTTTGTTTACTTTAATTTTGATCTGGAATTTTTGATTATACTGGAATCTCTAAATAATAAATGGCTCAAAATTTGAATTGGTTAATCTGCATGTAGCAAAAATTATAAACAAGATACATAAATCCCATATGTTCTATCTTATATAACTTATATTTAATAATATAATTGGTAATAACAGAAAAAGCTAGATAACAAGATGTATTTTTTGGTAAAAGAAGTGATTTGATGCTTTTTGCTTTTTTCTTGAACTAATTTTATTTCTCTTCAAGATTAAAGAAAGATTTATTTCAATCCAATAATAAGCTAGTTCTACTATTGATTATTTTGAAAATAGTTGAAGAAAAAGATAATGAAACTATTTATTTGTTAAATAAAACTATAAATTTTTAAAGAATTAATTGGAAAAGAAATTACCAATTAAAATATTAACTCTCTCTAAAGATTAGAAGTCTTCAAGTATAAAGTTTTAAGAAATACTCTTCTGAAAGTATTCTTAAATGTTTTTGGTCGACAATGAAATAGTAGAAATCAACTGGTTTTCCAGCTGCAGGTAGTCAAATTAGATAATAGTTAAAAAAAGTTTTGTTTTATCAGTATAAATCTTTTCTTTTCCTTTCACTTTTAATTTCTTAAAAAAAATATTTTTTTTTTACTTTTATAGGATTACAGTAGTAATAAAACTAAACAATATTTTTATTTTCTATTATTATATCTAGAAACTTTAGGCTTATAATAGGTGTATTGCATAGCAATACAATAGTTTAGCTTTATTATAGTATTTTTAATACAAACATATAATTATTTTTTAACAAATAGAATTAATAAACTAATCAGTTTGCAGCTTGATTTGGAGTAAAAAAAATGTCATATGTCCTAGGTATAAATAAGGATCCTAATGATTTGATTCAATTCAATTCTCAATTCTCAGGTTCATAGTAAATTTAATATGTGGGTTATAACCCACCATCATTTTTAATAGTATTTCAAACCTCATGTAAGTCTATGCAAGTCTATTCAATTCCAATTTTCAAGACCATAGATATAATAAAGAATCATTAACCTAAGATATTTCAAGTTTATATATGTATTGTTTAAAAGTTGGATCCAAAAAAATCATATCTACCATTTTTGTCACCTTCAAAAATAATTACCATTTAAATAAATAAATAAATATATTTGAGATATATAATTTTAGATATAATAAATATAAATTAAAATAATTGACTAAACTATAAAAAATTATTGGTTTTATTAAAATAGTCAATATATTAGTCATTTTTCTGGTGTTACATCAGTTTTCATTTCATTAGGTGGATCTCGTTCAGGTGTTTTAGAAGAAACAAATTCTGTCATTCAATTCAAATGATAGATTTTCAACAAGGCCCTATAAAAAATACTTATTAATATATGACAGTATGGCAGTAATCTCAGAGATAATTAATCAATGTTGAATAAGGTTTACCTTGATGTTCCAAGCCCACGAAAGAGCAAGACGAAGGATGCCATAAGATGAATGAGTCAGAGGTAGATCGAATGATTTTAAGAGGTGAAGTCGATATACATCACGTTTCTCCATCATATATATTCGAATTTCTGCCATACATTGCTAAAAAATAAATAATATTCAATGCAAATTCATATAGCCGTTGACAAATATGAACTTAAGACTAATCTCACCTGAATCCCGATAGTGTAAATATTTGACGTACATCCATTTCTACTTCGAATTTTTTCTAGTATGTCATCTAGCATGTCTTTGAGCATCCTTGGAAGTTGATACTCATCAGAGCCCCATTTTGTAAGATCATATTTACGAGGACCACCGCAACCCAACCCACAAACAATTTCTTGTTGATTAATTTCGCATACTAAATCTGCTAAGTGACCCCTTTCAAGATGGTGTTCTAATACATTTTTTTCTTGATTTTTTCTTCGAAGAGTTGCGATCACTGTAACCTCCCCCCTAAAAAATAACAAAAATTTTAGTCTAAAAATGGAAAGAATTGAAATTGATGTAAAACTTACCACGAAACACAATAAGAAGTATTCAATCTTAGAGCTCCTTTAAATATGGGAACAACATATTCTCCGAACCACTCCCTTTCTCCACAATTATGTCGTTGTATAGGATTACATTCAGATTCAAAAGCATTAAGACTAAAATTATGGTTAAATGATAGTTTCAACATAATCGAACCCTGTAAAAAAAAAACTTACAATGGTACAATAGCGTGTTCTGCCCAATATAAAATTTTCTCCCATTCTTCCTTATAGTATGAAAAATCATCATTATATTCTGGTACCTTTAAATATCTTAAGGTCTTCCATTTATCACGAGATTCATAAAGTTTCGGTTGTTTCTGTAAATATCACACTCCATAAATATTTGTAACAAAATGGTAGCATTTCCAAATATATCTTACTTTTTTACAAAGAGGACCAAATAGGTGATCGCAAATGGATTCTATTTCTTTATGGTATTCGGTTTTGGCCATGACAGGTCTATCAGCTATGAGCTCTGCCCATAACTTTGGGTCAAATTCTCCTTCTATTTTTGACTTGGGTGTAAGATCCAGAATATAACTGTGTGCCAAACTGCACAAGAGGAATAAATTAAATTATGAAATAAAAGTAATATGTAATTGATCTAATATTTGCAAAAAAGCTTACTCAAATTTCGAAGTGGTTTGCTTTACACGATACTTTTCCATTATTGAAATCAATGATGATGATGAAGCATTCTGAATCATTCTTCGTTTGACTGTCATTTCACAAGGTGACTCGTTGACGTCACTTTTAGTCAAAGAATCATAATCATCTGACACAGTGCCACGTCTTTTTCCTAAGGAACTCTCTACATTTTCGGAATTTTGTTTGAAACTCTCGGTACCCTTAAGCTTTTCAATATATTTGAGCTGATAAAACCTGTGTCAATTCTCATAATCAAAATATGTGAAGCAGAAAGTAATAACGGTAATTTTATAACATTGCGTTATTTACATTCTTGATGGAGGAATTGATATTTACGACGGAATTTTTGAACACTTCGGTGGTATTTCGTATAATGAAACTAGCGGCCTCGAGCTGCGATTAAAAAAGTCGATCAAGAGTTTGATTATAACATAGAATTTGTAAATTTGTTAAATAAGAACCTCAGCACATTGTCTCTCAATATGATTCCAGAACGTATCAACGTTTTTAAGGTATTTACGATGTCCCTAGAGTACAAGTACACACAGTATTAGTAGTCCGTTTCAAAGAATATAGCATTGCTGAAGGCAACACAACGGACACGTGGACCGTAAGGTGGACAGCGCGTGGAATGTCACCCTTAGTTGTGCGGACTTCCTCCCGCAAGAGAGGTCATTGCAACCTCAACATGCAGTACAAATGGACAAGACAGTAGATGACCAGCGCATGGAGTAGTCATTAAAATCTTGTTCCCCTCCCTTAAGCCAGCCAGCAATGAAAAAATCCGATAAAAAACTGAATAAAAACTTTCTATATAACTATCATCCAATCGATTGGCAACCTTCTTCATTGTCTCTGAGCCATTCTTCAATAGTTTATTAAGATCTTTTTTTAGTATGTTGTAACACGGAAAAGAGTGATGCGACTTATGCTGAATTTCGGGTTTCTCCACGATATTGGGAAGAAAGACTGCAGTAGCGAGTACAATGAGTGCGATAGAAACAAGCACGAGCTGGGAAAAAGAGAGAAGAAAGAAGAATCACGACACAATCGCAATAGCTCCACGTGACTGGGTTATGCGAGGATCGAACATGGCACTATGAGGTCAATTAATGGAATTATGTAATAGAAAGTGTGAAAATCAAATAACAAATGTTTCGTCATAAGATTTTTCATAGTTTTACTTAATTTGTAATTATCATTTTTATTATGTAATGAAGTTGTAAAAATGTATAAAAGAAAAGAGAGCATTAAATAAAGGAAGACAAGTTATCATCTCTCGGCCATAATCAATTCCGCCTCACCATAAACACTTACTATCGTTACGCGAATTTAACTTCCCATTAGCGACAGACTCGCCGACCACCATTACAATAGACAATAATTGTTTGATTTCCAATTTTGAATGTTACATACTGTATATTACCAGACGATCGACATATGTAACATTCATTGATTCTGTAAGGTTGGCTTAAGGCAACTAGTAGTCATATGAACAAATAGTTCTGGGATAATTAGAAGATAAAAGTTGGAAAGTACAAAAATAATTTGCTAAGTTGATAATACACCTCGAGAGGTTTTACCTCGTAAAAAAACGCTCATCGTGAGCGAGCTGTAGATTCGGGTTGGCGACAGACGACTCTCTGTTCATAACAACGATAACAAAATTATTTTATCCTGTTAAGCGACGAAATTTTAAATATAAGGTCAAATCAGTGTCTTTGCGGTTCGAGCTATTCCTCAAAAAATATTTCATCGACCATAGCAGGTCTTTAGGACAGATAATTAATTAAGCATTGGTTTTTTTTCCGATTAAATATATATTATACAACTTGAGAACGGCCCGACTAAATATTTTTGATTAGCCACTCCGTGACTGTCTTCGGTAATTATTATTCACGAAGAGGAAGTGAATAATATCGCATCAAAACATTGCAAAGTAAAAGGATAACTTCTACCACCTGATTCGACAGTTAATCAACTATAAATAACAACAGGCTCAAGTGGAAGACCCGAGAATCTTTTTTCAATGTGACGGAGGTATCTCTATCAACACCTTTTCAGCATTAGGCTAATACCGTATCATTTCCCTATCTTTCTTTTCTACAATCAATTCTCAAAATAGTTGTTAATTTTCCTCTGTAACTGGGGACGAATCTCTTCGGGCAAGAATCATATATGTTGGGAAATCTGATTGTGTAGTTCATAAGACATTTTTTGTTGCTATAATATGTGATAAAAATCAATTTAATTTGGTTTAAACGTAATCACATCACGTTACAATAAATTCTCGAAAGCGACATTATGTGTAAATCCACATACTATATAGTGGATCTCTTTATTTTTTTAAAAAGATGCCAGACGGCATTTACATTATGTGGATATGAGTAGAGACCTCTATGTTCTTCATACTTATTTTTTATCTAATAATTTTAATAAACTATTACAGTATTATCTACCGGCGAATTGATATGTAGATTTCTTATTATGGAAATGAATTTTTAATCACGTAAATTTCTAATCATCGAGTTTATTTTCAGGCATGGAGTGGCATTTCATCATACTGTATATACTTCCGATGGAATATATGCTACAAGTAATAGCGAGCATCAGATAAGTCTTTCAAAGATCGCAATCAAAGAAAACCTCGATATTCTACAGAGCAGTGTGAAAAAGGTTACTGTATAGGGATCATTGTTGGGTTGTTGAAGATCGAGTAACAGTCGATAACACCGAGAGTTCGAATCAAAAAAAGCATCAAAAGATAGTGGATAGATTATTCCCGCTTCACATGTATTTTTTATTGTATTAATAAGGTAATCAGTTCTTCTGCCAATTTATTTTTGCATGGATTAATAAATTTTTTTCTGATGTACTGTACATATTGATGACATGCATATATGATCGAGGATTTTTCTTGGCAAAAACCATTAACATTGTTAACGATCAAATTCAAATTTTTCTTGGCATTCTTCACACACACTTATCTACTCGATAATTTAAATTGATCTGTCTTATATAAAACGTGTCATCAGAGCTTGAATTATTGAGACAACGAGTTACTAATCTTAAGGCAATTAAAATTGATTATAATAATTAGATAAAAAAGTTTCGATAATAAAATATACCCGTTTGCAATACCACTTTAACTGAGAGACTAGCTTACAGCTATAGACATGTCTACTTTTGAAGAATTTTTTAAAGGAATTGGCGCAAATATAAACCTTGCTCGATACAGGTTAACAATTTAAAAACCCCAAAAGCTTGGGGACAGTTTTTTTTAAAGAAGGGATCGTTAACGCCTTCAATGGTTTTTCCAAGAAATTTCAGCGAACAAAGTGTCTATCATCTTTTTTCAGAGTCAAAAAAATCTATATACATCGGATATACTATTAGTACATATATTAAATATATTATAAATAAATATATGTATATATTCTAGTATTGAAAACATAAAAAAAAAAGTATCAATAAACATACAATCTGAGATCAACTCATTGAGACAACAAATGACTGATATACAATTGGAAATTAAAGTTGAAAATACAAAATTTTAAAATATGCTTGAAAAGAAAAATGAGATAACAAGCAATAATATAATTGTCAATACAAATCAACTATTTCTAATTTATCCTAGCTATATTCAATTTATAATTTATTATATCTTATTACTGTAAAGTATAAAATAATATTAGTAGTAAATTTAGTAAAATTGATTGTGCTGCTTTATATCTAAAGTATCTTGCTTGGTGTAAAACTAATAATAAAAAACCATTAACTAACAGAAATATAGGAAAAGAATAATATTTTTTTTAATCGACCTAATATTATAAATGAGATACATGAATTAATTGATAATACAAGTTAATATTATATATATAATAATATACTTGATAGTATTTATGTTCTTTCTGGTGTAACCAAATTTCTTTTTTAATCACACATCAATAATATTGAGACAATTTAAAAATAATACAATTTTTTTATAGCAGAAAGCAATCAAAAAACTCAAGCCAGTATATATTATCATTACTATTAAAAATTAGGATTCTAAAAGCATTAGAAAATAATATAGAAAGGTATATCAGAAATGTTATATCCTATTTCAAGAATTACTTTATAATAAAATTCAATTAGAGATATCAAGCCAGTATATTAATATCATTATTGAATTTAAAGTTATATATATTTAAAATCCTAAGATTAATCATAAGATACTTTATATTTTCTTTTATATGATTATTTTTTTTTTAAATAAATTATTTTTTTACATAACTAAGAAATCCAAATGCATTATTTTCAAATGTTTCCAAACTTATTAATAATATAATCCTATTATTTTTACTTGAAATTGTTAATAGCATATTAAAAATTTTAAACTAGCAATTAATATTTGAAATTATCAATAAAATATTAATATTAATATTGTTCTTAATAAAAATTCTGAACTAATAATTAATTTTTGAAATTATTAATAAATATTCATGTTATTTCCAGTAAGAAACTTTGAACTAGTAATTAGTATTTGGAAAAATTCAAAATTAGTAATTAATACTTGAAATTAACAATAAAATATCAATGTTACCTTTATTGAAAATTTTTAATTAACGATTTATACTTGGGATTATTAATAAAATATTGATTTTGTTTCCAGTAGAAACCTTGTATTAACAATTAATACATGAAATTATTAATAAAAAACTCCAAACTAATAATTAATACTTAAAATTATTATAATAAAAAATTCTATATTAATATTGTTTTCAATAAAATCTTAAACTAGCAATCAATACTTGGAATTATTAATAAAATATTAATAAATAAAAAAACAAAAAAAAACATAATAATTATACATATTTGATTGTTTTTAAAATTAAAAAACTTTTAAACAAAAATATTTTTAAGAAGATATTAATTAAAATTTAAATTATATAATATTAATTTAGTTTTAATAAACAAAACCTTATTAATTATAAATAACTTATCAAAATTAAATAAAAAAAGACTTTTGAATTCAAACTCAAAAAAGCTTCTTGTAATTTTACAGATAAACTTGTCTGGAAGTTTTAAAAAATATATTTAAAATTTATAAAACAGATTAAAAAATCAATTTTTAAAAAGATTTTACTAACTTAATTTCAATATTAATAATGGTAATATGTTAAGAAAAACAAATATATAAATTATATTACTGTAAAAAAAACATTAAAAAAAGAATTCAATAATAAAGAAAAAGAACTTGTTTATATAAAACAAAAAAAAAGATTCAAACTATATAATATTAATTGAAAGAAATAAAGAAAAGATCAAAAAAAATTTAATTTGTACTTAAAAAAAATACTACTTAACTAATGAAAATAGATAAAAGTAATTTAAGATATGATTTTATTACTATAAATATATATATATATATATATTTCTTTAGATAAATATTAATTCTTTATAAAAACTCTCTCCTGATCGCGTCCGTTTTGTTAATTTTCCTTTTATGGTAATTTTAAGCAAAAAAATATTTTACTCTCTTTATCACAAGTGAGCCCCAGCTCAAAAACTCAAGAATCTTCAAGACAACTGGTGCAGTGGAATGGGACCTCTGGTCGAAGTCTATTCAAGTTTGGGAGTCTTG